ATGCCCCGTGCACCCCGGGGGTGGGCCTGTGCTCCCTAGAGGGGGCAGGCCCGCGCATGCGCCGTGCGCCTGGGGGCAGCGCCACGCACCCCGACCCGGGGCACCAAAATGGCTCGGGTCAGCCCTGACTGTGGGGTCTATGTGGCCTGATAAATACTCTGCTGGTGGTGCCTAGTTTTAGAGTAAGCAACAGTGGTTTGAGATTGTAGCCTGCTGTGGCCAGGAACCAGTCATTATGTGAAAGTGACAGGGAGAAGAGCCTGCTTTGCTTGACCATGACTGGAACATCGGGGGAGAGGAATTCTTCCCTCTTTGCTCTGGTGTTACTCAGAGGTTGGGAAAGGCCCCTACTTAACCTGGTTCAGTAGTGTCAGGCCACCACAAGTAGTGCAACACCACCCTCCTCCTCTCCTGGTATTTTGGAAGTTTCTGTAATGGTCCATGCTACAGAGATTTTATGCTGCTTCTAGGGTTGCCAGATGGTTGAAACAAAAATACTGAACCCCATCCCCCGGGGTGAGTGCAGTTGAGCACTAGTATAGTAGCAGTTGAGCACTAAGACCCAGGGGAAAGGTCATTTGGCCGGTAGCCATTTTGTGCTGGCAGCCTTGGGGAACCAGATAAGCGGCCGGGGGGGGGGGGGGCTTCAGGGCAGGAAGCTGGATGCTGAGTGTTTGTAGGGTTGCCAGGTGCCCGGCATTTTCACCTCCTGGCGGGGGAAAAATTCAGAAAATACCAGACATCTTAGGTGTCCAGTATTCTCGGAATCTTTTTTATTGGACAGGAGCTGAAAATACCGGACAGTCCGGGTGAATACTGGACACCTGGCAACCCTAGGACTGTGCCTGCCAGCTTGGGACTTCTCATGCCCCTCACCTCCAGTTCTAAACCTGGTTCTGGATCTAGGGTGTTGTCTCTTTCATACATAATCCTCTTCTCTACCACATGCACACTGAGGTCTTCCGCCCACAGCAGCGTGCAACAGGGTTATTCCTGTGGCTTCACAGGCCTAGACAAGCTTCTGTGCTGTTGCCAGATGTTTATGGCTGGTATGTTTGCTCATAATGTCAATGGATAGCAGGGGAATGACATACACTGAAAACATTTGTGTCTGGTTTATCTTTTTATAGTTGATCCCATTAGAACACACCTAAACTTGGTTCCTTCCCTCAGAGATGGGACCTTTTGGCCATTGACTCACTCAGTCTTTCTCCAGTCATTTGTGAGCCATCATTGGCAGTAACTCCTACTTCTCTTCTTTTTTCTATGAGAATTACTATTCAGCTGTAAATTTCACCAGCCACATTCAAGAAGCCCTCGACATTCTGCATGCAGAAGTAAGTGGTGTTCAGTAACTCACTGGTCAGCATTGCATGTTCTTCCCACAGTACTATAGCTGAGGGGGTAGACAAGGAATGGTCCTTGAACCAAATGCATCCCAATGAATCCTATAGTGCAGCCTACCCGGCCTTTATCTCTAATGCTGAGATGAATCCTGACACAATAGACTCCAACATACAACCATGGACAGGAGGAGGGAGGGTTCAGTAAGGTGAGAGGGAGGGGAAAGATCAGCGATAGGGGAGGAGTAGTTGGGGTAGTTAACCAGGGCAGGCAGAAGGAGCTGAAATTCTGCTGTGTTTAAAATAAAGGCATTGAAATTTTCATGACCAGCTCCTGCCATGCAAAGTTCTGGCTTTCTTTTCAGGTTCCCAGGGCTCTGGTCAATCTGGTTGAAGTAATGGACCTCCTCCCTCTGAGGAAGATATTTCTGGATAACCAAGTACAGTGTCCCACACATCTCGCTAGGTAAGGCAGCTTTCGCCTACTCTATCTGCACTGACTCTCAGTGGGAGAAGAGACAAAAGTCTATTCTCTGCTTCCCGACAGAGGAAACCTGGGAAGGCTTCAGGTTCCATACTGTAGGGCTGCCCTGGGGAGAGTTTGGATAATAATAGAGATGCCTCCTTGGATGAGGGGCAGGGTTATAAAAGGTAGGGCCCCTTAGGCAGGAGTTGGAATAATAATGTGTAGAGCTCCCTTAGCAATGGTTAGGAAGTTAATAGAGTGATGTCATTGGAATCTGTTGGGCTGCTTGGGTAGGTCTAGAGCTATGGAGAATGGGACTCCCACTAGCTAGGGTTACAAGGTGCATCTTCACTGCAGCTGAGTGGCATGATTCCCAGCTCAGGTTGATACATGCCCTAGCTCTTCTTCTTGTAGCATCACTGAGCTGGGGATCATGCCTCCCAGCTGCAGTGTAGACATATCCTTAGGTATCCAGAGATAATAGAACATAGCGTGACATAGCGCGGTAAGTATCACCTTGTGATGCTTAGAGGTAGTCAAACTGATAAGTGAGCTGCACCACTCATGCAGGGCAAATGGGGCAGATAAAACAGTGGCTTGAGATTGTGCAAGATAGCAAGATCCATATGGCAGTCTCATGGAAAGGGTAATATATAGACATCCAGCACTGCTCCCAGGTGGTAAGGATACTGAATGGCAATGGGTGAGAGGTCATTGAATCTACACTTTTTGCTCTAATGTTGAATGTTTCTCTTACTGCTGTAACCTCTTCTGCAGATATCTGTGTAGTTGTGTTCTTCCAGTGATGGAAGGGTCACAAGACCTAGTGATGGTGATGGATGCTATCAGAGCCTACCAGGTACATCTGCCAGGATGAGGGCAGTCACTTTGCGTACAATTGAGGCAGGGCAGAGGGTTATCCATCAATCTGCCTGTTGCAATGTATACCCACATATAGAACAGGTGCCCATATACTACTCTGGGTACCTTTGTTGTTGTTAAAAGTATCAGTGTGGCAAGATCAGCAGGAGAACTCTAGCCCTAACAGAAACCCATAAGTGGGTGTTTCCTCACTAAACCTCCATCCCTCATAAACAATCACTCTCATCATGTTCCAACCTCTTTGGCCATAGGTAAAAAATATGGGTTTTGCCATCATGTCTGTGATCCCGACCGTGTCAGCCCAAGGGTGAAAGTGCAACTAAATGCCCTATGCACCATCTAAGGGTGACAGAGTGGTTGGTGGGTTGATGATGGTCTTTTTTGTCTCCTACAGAACAGCACTCGGAAGCTAATAGAGTCTGGCAGGTATGACACCCATGAAAATTTCACGGTGGTACTGCAGCCTTTTTTCCAAAATATCAAGATTCCTCTGCTTCAGGTATGGCCAGAGATCATTCTCAGTAGTTGGGTAGGTGAATGCATGCATCTAACCTATCTAGAGTATATGAAAGTATCAGGGTTTGTCATGTACTCTTGAAATTCCCATACAAATATAATTTGATTTGGTAAATTACTGTGTTGGAATTCCTTGAACGGGTTCCAAAACTTGGATTTACATAATTTATTTTATATTAATTACTATTTTAACCTTTTGAAAATATTTAAAGGTTAAAATTAAAGATATATGTATACACATTTGTTCAGCAAGAGCAGGCATTAACTAAAAGTAATATGATTATTTTACTCTTATATAGTACTTTTCATAGGTAGAGTTTGAAGTATCATTATTCCCATTTAAGGATGGGGGAAATGATTAATCAAGCTGCATACGCAAATACACAGAGAGCCCTGACATTTATGTTAGAGCTCTTAAAGCTGTCTGGCAATAACCTTCACTATTAACTAACAGCTTCATCATCTCTTTCTGATCCATGATCTCACTCTTCTATGCCTGTGCAGAGAGAGGAATCTACATAGTCATGAGTCCAAAATGTAGTCTTATGTAATCAGCCCTTTTCCCAATCTTTAGCAGTAAGAGAGGGTTCCAACGCCTGAATGCTGAGTTAAGCAAGCTATAGTAAATCTAAGAACTGACACAAATCTTTTCTGAAGCTTGAAAACCATTCACTGACTTTTTTTCCCCACACACTTATCTGCACTTCCTGATTTCAGCTGTAACTGGAAACAGATGTGGTAAAATTCCAAACAGGAGGAACTGTGGTATTGTAGGGCCAGAGGGAACCAGAAAATACAAGAAATAACCAGTGACAAGTTGCAAATGTTTGGCTTCTTCTCCTGACAAACCTTTTTTGAGACTGCAAAGTGGGGCTGAAAATTTTCACAAAATCATGGGCTTTGATTTCTGGTCTGGTCAGATTTTGAGATGCCTTTCCTGTGAGTTTTGACACTGAAAAGCCTTTGTTGTAGGTTTTGACACTAGCTAGGAAATTGAGAATGAAAAATAAAAGATGCACTTTGTTTTGGAAAATGTTTAGAGCTAAAAATGATTTTCTTGTCACTTTGAAAAATAATCAGATGTTTTCATATTGTATCCAAACTTGAAATGATCCAAAATCCTGGCTACAGACTTGATGGATGATCAGATACAAATCCAAAACTTTGGTAGTGGGTCCTTACTTCTCTAATGAGCCAACCCCAAACTCTTGATCAAAACGTCCTCAAAGTTTGAGGATTTCCACTCTGGATCCAAACTCTTTAGCCTTAGTCCAGTGGTGGGCAACCTGCAGCCTGCAGGCCACATGTATCAGGGGTCTGTGTATGGCCCGTGAAACATTTTGTTTACTGGTGCCCACATGCAAGGTTGCCAGATGCCACTGGTTTCCATCCACAAACGTTTTTTCATAGTGTATTACTAAAGTGGCATGTGTGTAAACCGAGGGCATGTGAAGTGAGGTGCATGCTGATTGCCCACAACATTGACTGTGAGAGCTGTGGTTCAATTGGCACACCTGCAAACTGTAGGCGCATAAGCACAGTTAGCAAAATTATCCTTTCCTGGGAGACTGTCTTGATTATGACAATCATGTGGCCCTCTCACTAGCCAAGATGGCCCATCACAGCTTTAGTCCATCTAATCCAAACTCTTTTATGCACCCCTAAAATGTCATGAGAAAAGCAAGCTCTTAAAACTCCCAAACCCAAACTGATTCAGATATTAAAAAATCAGCAACAAATTGGAGCTCTGCTCTGAAAAGTGACTGTGTGATTGTATTTAGTTGTACCTGCTAACTTCAGTGACAAACAACTTTTAGTGCCTTTTACTCTTGTTAGCCCTGCAGAATTTACACACCTGCAAAAAAGGGAGTTACAAGGGAAGGAGTGTCTTTTTCCATTCCTTCTTGTGTATCATCGATGGACTTGCTTACTGACTTCTACTGAGCTACACCTGAGAAAATCCACTGAGGAACAGAATCCTTATTCCTGACAGTCATGCATGAGAAGGAAAATGCCTGCCAGTTGCATTTGTGCATTTGTATGACACTGGAGCTCCTAGAGAGAAAAACTAAACACAGAACCCAACAATACCATTTTTAAAGCCACTGCTCAGGGTAGAACAGCACATTACACATCTAAACTTTAGGGTGCCTATCCTTTGGGGATTGCCCATCACTAGTACTTGTATACCCTGCCAGGTAGTATTCCACTTAATCTCCTTGAATGGCCAGTAGGCTTCCACCTGGGAGTGTATAATGGGAATGCCATACAACTACAATAGCCTTTTCTCCAACCTCAGTGAACCACAGCAATAAAGTGTTAGAGAATTTCCTGCACTTTGATAGTCCTTTGTATTTTCCTTTTCAGGATGGCCGTGCAGATATCTCCTTCTTTGCACCAGACTGTTTCCACCTGAGTCAGAAATCCCACTCTCAGCTCTCCAGGACTCTCTGGAACACCATGGTAGGGATGGCATGGACTTGTATAGCAGGGTCATCAGCCAGAACCCATTACAAGTATCTGTAAAATCATCTCCTTAGTATAATAATTGTTCCATTGGGGGGACTGAGTGTCTCAGGCCACTGTCAATGGGATTCAGGACTGTTCTTCCATATGGGACCATTCTTCCCATTCAAATGCAGCCCAGGTCAGTGGTGATTAAAGGTCTCTTCCATCTATTGGCTAAGGGGTGAATTGAGTTTGGTGGGTCTCGGTTCACATCCTTTTGAATAGGTGTCCATTTCAACTAGAATGAAACCCCATGGAGTGCACTCGCTGGCAGTCTCCAGAGAGAATTTGAAGACTGCCTGGGCCAGGGAGACTGATCAATGTACATTCCCACCTTCCAGGTTGAGACTAAGACACAATTGTGTGGCAGCATAGGTGATGCTTGTACTCCTGCAGCCTCTGTTGTACTAGTTTTGTGGAGAATCAGGGGACTGTAGTCTCTATGGCTGTCAGCCCAGAACCTTTCACCTACTTTAAATTCACTTTCAAAATGGAGTGTAGTCAGGCTGAATCCCAAGTTTTTATTCAGGAATCCCTGCAATGATGCTCAGCTTTCCCTTTACCCACTGCCGCAGTGACAAGAAATGTTACTGCCTGTTACGCTTTGTGGGTGATGCCATATTACAACTGAGACATAGAACAGGCAAGAGGCCTTAGCTCTGGTATTCTGGTCAAATCGCATTACAGCTACTTTGGCCTCCCTAAATTACCTCAGCAATACAGTAGGCATTTTTACTTCCTGTTCTAAACTGCTGACTAGTGTTGTGGTGTTCTGTAACACAGTTGCCATGCTCCTCCCAATAAATGGCTGCATTTCAATCACAGGCAAATCAACAGCTCTGCAGTTATTCAATGCAATTACATTTGTAAAGCACCTTTGGATTTAAAATTGTTATAGAAAGGTAAAATGAGAGGACACAGCTACAAAACTAATCATCCTCATTTTTTTCCCCAGCTTCAGCCTGTAGGGGAGAAAACTGACTTCTTTGACCCAAAGGCTAACATTACTCTGAGTTGCCCAACACTGGTAAGTATTGTATCATTATGGAAGCAGAGATTTGGGGTGGCTGTGTTCAGGACAAAAGATTCAGTATTTTTGGTACAAGTCGGCTAAAATTCTGTTTTTCTGTTAACTGTATGTGAATATTTTGTTGTACAATTACTGCTTCAGTGACCCATATAAAAACTAACTGAAGTGTGGTTAGATCTTTGGCCAGATTTTTAAAGTTATTTAGGTGCCTAAATGTATAGATAGGCCTCTAGTAGAATTTTCAAAAGGATTAAAAATGGATTTTTCCTTTGAACTAATTGAAAATGAATTGCCTAGATGTTTTTGGAAATCCCATTAGGTACCTATTTATGTCTTTAAATTCCAAACTGCCTTTACAAATGTGGTCTCTACTGACTAATGCTGAAGAAGGTGCATGGAGGCTTTACGTATGTATGTAGCTTCTCCCATTATAGAGCCCTGAAACTGTATCGCACTAGGGAGTTTCAAGTGGCCATCAACCTCCAGCACATGCATTTGTAAGTGCATACAAGCTCAGCAGTTTCTTCTTTTGACAGTTGGGGAGCTGCTTCTCTCCCCTTCCCTCAGCCCTTTTCCAAACTCCATCTTAAAAATTTGTGCTGGGTATATTCTACTCTATGGTGAGTTTCAGAACATCTAGACTTTTGAGCTGGTATATGACAATAGAGGGAGATTCTACTAGTTTCTTCCCTCCTTTCCCTGCATAGCAATTACAGTCCATGAATTTCTAATGTGTCCATCACCATCATTAGTGTTTGTCACTTTTACCTGTCTTCATTACATGAGCTTGAGCCTCCAGCCACTAGACAGTAGTAAAATCCCTACAGAGAAATCACTAGCAGAGCTGACTGGGACATAACAGGAACTGCTGTAACAGATCTGACTATCTTTCCATCAGATCCAGTATCACATCTTAGGGCATGACCTGTAGTTGATGCTTTAGCTGAAGATGACAATAACACATTTGGCCAGTTGTGCAATGAGTGAGGATTTGGGAAATCCTTTCCTGATCCCACAGTGAGACTTTCTCAGGGTTTTCAGGATAGTGAGCCATCTTGTAATACCCCTGCTTCTGTGAGAAATTTGTTTGTGTTTAACTGGATGTCAGCTCTCTGTTAGCCAGCCAATCAATCTTCTTGGGTCTCTAGGCATGTGTCTACACAGCACCCTTACCTTGAAATAAGCTACGCAATTTGCGCTAATGAAAGTCTCTTAACCCTTGAAGAACAAGGGTTACAGGGATGCTGGAATAGCACGCACCTGTTATTTCGAAATATATTTAGAAATAATGGGCATGTTTAAAGACACAGAATTGATACTTCGGGATACTTCCAGTATCCTGAAATAGCCCTGCTGTCTACACATAGCCTAGCTAAGTTACACTAGCAGCTGCTTCTGGGGAGTTCCAGCTGTATCTGTTATTATATAAAATGACTTCAGATTCTGATGTACACGGGTTCCCTAACTCAGCAGAGTTCTAAACACAAATGTTGTGCATATGTGACTGTCACATGTGCCAACCTGTAGGAACCAAATGTCCATTGCAAACCATTTCTAAGCACAGTGGGCTAATTTAAAGGATACAAATCTGCAAGTGAGAGGGGAGGGGATTTCTGACCACACATTTCTCATTTAAACCTTTTGGAAAAACTCTGCTCTTCCAGTGGGGAAGTCCTTATTGACCTTGTACCTTCATGTTCTGTATTACAGGCTTAGGTGCTATTCTCATTAGGAAGCAGCAAGTCTCCTGATAAGAGTTTTTAATCTACATTAGTTCATATTTCCTAGGGTGGATGCTAGGCACAGAGACCACAACCCAAATTATATAGCCATTGTGGGAACAGGATGAGCCTCCTCACCGAAGCAAGCAGAGCTGTTCAGATTTCTTCACTCCCTACATCAGAGTGGATGTGAAAACAAGTTGAAGGGGTTTGATGAATGCGGACAGGGTGGAGGGGAGGAGTTGGAATTCTTAGTTGGATCTGAATTTCCCATCTGGTCCTTATCTCTGCAATGTTCTGAACCAAATCCTCCCCAATTGCAACACCCCTAAATTTTAGGGAAGAGTGTTTGTTTCAAAATCCAGATCCACACTTTGTAGCTCGGGCCATCTCTAGTTATATAATCTTTTGGCTGCAGAAATCCTGATCTCATTTGCTGTCCTCCTTGCCCTTGTTTGCTGCGTGATCTGTGTTTCTCTCCCTTTGTCTCCTCACTCATCAGCACAAACCCTTCCTGGGAACATATAGGAACAGCAACTACACGTACCTACCTGTGGAACCTACTAACAAGCCAATTCAGGTAATTGCCTGTATCGCTTACTGTATATTACACATACACATGGGTGCACAATTGCTCCTGTCTAGTGGGTGTTTTCATATCATTTGGAATTTGTAAACAGGGTAATTTCTCGCTAGGCTTTTAACACTCAAATCTCCTCCTATGTCAGCACTTATTTAAACTCTTCTTATTCAAGTGCTCTGTTTTTTTTTTTTTAACAAAACTGCACCAACCAGTGCCACTACCTGAGAATAACTTTTCCAAAACTGTTCTCAACAGTGGAAACTGCTTCTTCCCTCCCACCCCAAAATTAACCCAGCTCATCTGGGGTAGGAGGGGAGAGGAGCCCCGGGCCCTTTAAATCACTGCCATGGTGCTGTGCACTCTGCATGTCTCTGAGGGCAGGAGGAGGCCAGTGCTGTACTCCGGGCAGAGCAGAGGGCTGGCTGCCTAGCCCTGCCCATTCTGCCTCTCCACACCTTACCCGGGGACCCGGGGAAGCTGTTGGCCCCACTGATAACACCCTCTGACTGGATAGTAGAGGTTGGACCTTCCTGGTCTGACATCCTTGGGACCTGACTGGTCCCAAACGAGGGGATTTGCTGGAGCAAAGGGAGGTCCCTCCCCTCATGGCCCATGCTGCTTCTGGACTAGAGCTCTAACCTGGTCAGGCTCCAGCCTCGGCCTCCCTGCTGCCTGACCAGCTTGGGGCTCCCAGTGCCAGTGTTTTCTAGCTGCTGCTAGGCTAGAGCTCCCTGGTCACCACCGAGTGTCACAGCTGGAGCTCTGCAGCCAGGGCCAGAGCTCCCTTGCCAGGGCCGGGGCAAGAGCTGGGACCAGAGCTGGAGCTCCCCAGCTACTGGGTCCAGAACTCCCTATCACGCCGCCCCTCCCCCCCAAATATGGGGCTCCCAGTAGAGTTGTTGTCTTCCCCTGCCATGCTCCTGTTGCTGGACCGGAGAGTCCAGTTTTAGGGAGATACACCACTGTGTTAAAGATGAGAGCAGCTCCATTTGACTTAATTTTTTTTCTGCAAATCCGGGGATATTCTCAAGCTCTCCCATGCCTACTGCTGGGCAACATGGCTTTTGTCTGGACAAAGTGTGGACACTGCTGTCCTGATGAGAATTGCTCACTGGAACCATTTATTTTCCTCACTGGCACATCTCTGCTTCTCAGAACATACTGTGACTGACATTTGAGAGGCAGTGTGGGGGGAGAAATGAGCACAGGACTGTGACTGAGGCATTCTTAGGGGTAGTTCGTGACTTTGCTACAAAACTGACACACTATGTGACTCCTGTCTGACTACCCATATATGCAATTTCAGAGGATTACAGCTATTCTACCGCGCATAAGTACTGTAAGCATTAATTAATAGGGATGGATGACAATTCCATTTCATAGCAACTGCTGAGGTTTTAGAATTTGGTTTGTCTGCCCTGGAGTGAACACAAACCATTGAACCCAGATGTAGTTCCCTGATTGAGGCCACAATTTTTCATTCTAGACCACTCTCAATTAGGCAGAACAAGGACTAAAACTTGGGGCTCCGACTTTCTGCATCATTGCCCTAACCAAAAGGCTATAGAGTGTGGGAAGTTTTCTTTTTCCTCACCCCCTCCCTTACTAAAATAAATGTTGTTGAAATTAAATACATCTCTGTGAAACACTGGCCCTGACACAACAGTATGTTTTTGTATAATTTCATTTCACCAAAAAATATTCAGCCATGGTCAATTAATTCATATTTGAGTAATGTTTTAGGATGAAAGGCAAAAACTGCCAAGCTATCAGGTAACTAGGTGGAAATATTTATTATTGGGTTTTGATTTGTTTGTAATATTGCTTCACTGTATGCTAATATCTCCTAACCATACTGCTGTTTGTTTTCTTTTGTTTAAGAATTGGGGCAGTGACCTGTCATGTCCCGAACAGACCCCATCGGAAAGTGTCCCAACATCAGGTAAGTGAGAGCTTGTTTTGGGCCAAATCCCAAAGCGGAGTCATCATCTGTGCTTTTTAAAAACAAAACCTTAAAGCTGTATGACTGCACTTGTTGGAAGAAAGGAAAACAGCCAGATTAGGCATTGCGTATCCAGTGCTTAGCAAGGGCATTCTACTTTGCCAAACCCAGCATATTCACTGGCACAGCAGTGGCTGTGGGCAGATAATAGCTTGATTGGCTTCATCCAGTCAGATGTTCCTGGTACACTTGCCGCAAAGCAGCTTTGATCAACCTGGGTGTAGTTGCTTGATCAGCAGCACAGGTGCATTGTGCCTACACATAACTGGAATGCTTTATATTTGAGCCGTTAATAGGAAACATAGATCTGGACTTAAAGGCAATTGAAAACAAAGCAGAATGAATGTATGTATTGTATGCAATTTTAAATCGATCTAATCTAGGTTGGGTTTTTCTAAGGTGAAAGGTGGTTTTAAGCTCTGTTTACTTCCCTATTACTCAATCACATGATTTGGCACTAGCCACAAGTGAATTGCAAACATTTATTGCTCAGTCTGGTGGATGACTGAGTTTGTGTAGAACCCTGCGCCCACTCCCCCTGAATTCACTAAAGATTTTGCCATTGTCTGCAATGAAACCAAGATCACCAAACCCTTAATCCAGGATAAGATTTTCCAGTGATCACTGGTAACCCTGCTTTTTATTTTATTTTCCTGTCTAGTACACAAGCTGCGACCAACAGACATCAAAGTCATAGCAGCGCTAGGAGATTCCTTGACTGTGAGTATCGTTGTTTCTCTTGAGCCTAGAATGGGAAAGGCAGTGCTGGTTTCCCTGGTTGTTACGGTCTCAGATGCCATCAGACGGAGAGCAAATTGTTGTGACTTGCCCAGCTGTGTCCATTTTCAGCTGCAATATCTCAGGGTATGTCCGCAGTTGCAAATGAAGCCCAGGATTTGAATTTCCTGGGCTTCATTTGCATGAAGCTGGCCGGTGCCATTTTTAAATGCCGGCTAGTTCGGACCCCGTGCCGCGTGGCTACATGCGGCACGGACTAGCTAGTTCGGATTAGAAGCCTAATCCGAACTAGCTAGTCCGTGCCGCGTGTAGCCGGGTGGCACGGGGTTCGAACTAGCCGGCATTTAAAAATGGCGCTGGCTGGCTTCATGCAAATGAAGCCCGGGAAATTCAAATCCCGGGCTTCATTTGCAATTGCGGATGACTACATTACCCCCGCTAGTTCTAACTAGCGGGGTAGTGTAGACATACCCTCAGTGTTATGAATGAATCTGGCAATTCGGAAACTGAGGGGAAAATAGCCCAGGCTACAGCCAAAGGTGAGACACAGTCCTGCCAATGTGCAGAACTGCCTCAACTCGCATTGACTTCAGTAGGAATTGAGGGGTCAGCACAACTCAAAGGATCAGGCTCATATTGCAGATAAAGGCTGTACATGCTTCACTTCCTTGAGAGCTCTATACCTCCATTTCCGTCTTGACCTACAGTAACATTGGCTACTCCCAGGCTAGGCCTTGAGTGTTTCTTGGAGGACCTTGGTCTGGATCTGCAGCATTCCCTGTTACTCCCCAAACCCTGAACAGTGACCTGCTTCCATTTTCCCAGGAAATCTTTTTGTTACTTTTCTCTTGATTCATTAAATGTGTCGGAGAGAATGAAAAAGCTACCTTGTGAGAGAAGACTCAAAGCGTGTGGCTTGTTTAGGCAAAACAAACAAAGGCTGAGGGGAGATAGGATTGCTCCCTATAAATACATCATAGGGATAACTGAAGGGAGTGAAAAGAGCTCCTTAAGCTAAGAGCTAATCTGGACACAAGAACAAATGGTATAAACTGGTCATCACAAATTTAGGCTTGAAATTAGGCAAAGTTTTCTAACCATCAGAGGAGTCGAGTTCTGGAACAGCCTTGTAACGGGAGCTCTGGGGGCAAAAAATCTAACTGGCTTCAAGATTGAGCTTGATACATTTATGGAGGGGATGACATGATGGGGTTGCCTACAGTGACATGTTCGCAATCTGCCACTGCTAGCTGCAAATATCTGCAGTGGCCAATGATGAACACTAGATGGGAGGGCTCTGAGTTACTATGGAGAATTCTCTCCCAGGTGTCTGGCTAGCGGGTCTTACGCACGTGCTCAGAGTCCAATCGAATGGTGTATTTGGGGTCAGGAAGGAATTTTCCCTGGGTCAGACTGGCAGAGACCCTAGGTTTTTTCTATCTTTGTGGTATGGGGCACGGGTCACTTGCAGCTTTAAACTAATGTAAATGGTAGTTTCTCTGAAAGTTTAAGCCATGTTTTGAGGCCTTACATAACATAGCCATAGGGTAGAGGTCTATTACAGAATACTCTTCCATCCCTGCGCCTCCCCCAGAACAGCTCTCCCTCCAACCCTCTTCAATCCCCAGTCCTGCTCTGGCTCCAAGCCCAGCTTCACCTTTACGCCCTCTCTGCTCCTAGCTGCACCACCACTCTGCCCTCCCCGCTTGGATCCAGTGTAGCTCTGGATCATTCTCTCCCCATCCCAGACCAGCTCTGCATCTAGCCCAGCTCCTTCCCCATCCCCAGTTCTGCCCCCAGCTCTGCCTTCAGCCCAAGCTCCGCTGCTGAGGAGTAACGGCTGTGCAGTAATGGAGGGGAGTATGGACAGATTCTGCTACTGATAAGGGAGAGCATCAGTGAAATGTGAGCACCACTGGCCTTGATGACCCACCTAAAAAATTGCCAGGCAGTGTCATAGGTGTAAAGTGGATACTGGACCAGAAATTAGTTTTCTTGGGTGATAAAATAATGTAAATTAGTAAGGGAGATGTCATGTCTTGTGCCTCCTCTATTGACTTACTCTAGAGCAGAGTACTTTCTTGGATTGGAAAATGTGATTTTTCTCCCCTCCCAGGAAAATCAAGATTTGTTTGAAATCTGATCAACAATAACCTACTCCCCACTGAGCTGCCACTGTGCCTTGTGGAGTTGTATTTCTGAAGCCCCTGTTTGTATTCTCCCCAATGGGCCATTTCCCAAGCTGGACTACTTTTCCCAGGGTGCACTATAGTCTCCTTCTGATTGAGCTACCACAGTACCTCATGGAAGTCTCCTGACCACAGTGCATAAGGGGAGATACAGTTCTGCCAGGGAATCTGGCGCTTAGGGCGACTATGGTGGCATAAGTCGCCAAACTACCATTCCCATGAGACTCTGCAGCAGCTTAGATGGATACAGAATAATGTTGAACTGACCCAAAACTAAAGTTTTCATTGCACAAAAAGTTTCCCTATTTTGCCTTTTCTCTCTGATTCAGGATTAAACCAGATGTCAAAATACTGGAATTTCCTATGGGACAGAAATTCTGGTCTTTAAGCCAGTTCTGCTCAGTACATTTCAACTGCCTCTTTTAATGACTCATTCAATAGCAACAATGTGGGCCAGTGGAACTCAGCCCACTGGAGGGACAAGCCATTCCCATTTCATAAATGATTCTTACCATCCTTCCAGACTGCTGTGGGAGCCAAAGCAACCAGCTCAACTAACATGCTAACAGCCTGGAGAGGACTTTCCTGGAGGTGAAACACACATCAATTCTGGGTGGAAGTGTGTCTGAGAGAGAATGAGCGTTTGCCTGGAATGGGCGTGTGCTTGTGTGTGTGCGTGTGCATGTGCGTGTGTGTGCAGTGCAATGGGGGGGCTGCTTATGGAAGAGTGCGGCTGTGCATGTAAACATGTTGTAAATGACAGAGGTAGAGGCATTATTCTACAACCATACATCAGAATCCCAGACAGGCCCACCGACAGGAGGTGAGGGGCCAATGGGGATAGTTGCCCGGAGCACTGTGATTGAAAGGGGCCCAGGGCTCCTGGCTGCTGCCGCTGCTACTGCAGCATCAGCCAGAGCCCTGGGTCCTTTAGAGCGCCGCAGGAGGCTGGCATGGTGCGCTCCAGGAGGTGAGGAGGGCTGGCTGTCCCCAACCCTGTCCCTTCCATCAGAGGCCCCGCCCCTTCCAGGAGCACAGAGCTGGTCATCTGCCTCCATCTTGTTCAGGGGTCTGTGGAGGCTTTCAGCACCTGTGACCCCAAACATCTCATTGGCAGGCATCAGTGCAGTCTGTACACCTTGAATATTGTTCACAAATGCAGTCGTTATGAGTGAGGTTAGACTGAGCAGCTCTGAGGGGGCAACGTGCCTCATTATGACAGCTAACATCAGCATAAAAGGAAAATAAGTGCCCTGTAGTGCTTTACTGGTAGCCTGTAAGGCTATGTGTATAATACAGCCCATGTTGGCAATCCCCTGATCAACATAAGTTACACTGACGTACATAAGTGCTCATGTGCACAGCGCTATATCGCTGGGAGAGCATCTCACGCTAACCTAACTTCTGCTGGTCACCGAGATGGTGTTTTAGGCCAGTGGGAAAAAGCTCTCCTGTTGGCACAGAGCATCTTCTCTGGATGCACTGCAATGGCGCAGCTACATCCATTCAGTGGTGCCGTGGCAGCGCTGCACTTGTAGCTATGGCCTAAGGCTGTGTGCACAGCCCTGCTTGACTTGGTCTGAAATCTCCCTTTTGGTACTTTCCCTGAATACACACTTGACTGGTGGTTTATCCTCCTTATTCCTAATTGAGCCTCTTCTTTTTATTCCCCTGAGCTGATATGGCAGCAACCTGCTATGGTGACCATACGACAGATGGTCTGTGCGTACAGTACTAACACTGCTGACTGATTGATTCTGTTCCTTCCCTCCTGTCCCGTCTCCCATAGTATTGGAGGTGATGGAACCCTGGAGGCTCACACGACTTTACCCAGTGAGTATTTTGAAAATCACAAAAGTTGGGGGAAGGGGACTTTTTGCTCCAAGACTAGGCCAGGCAAATGCTAGAAAGTCTGTGCTGGCTTCCCATCTTCCTTAGACAGGACACAGAATGCACATCTGTTGGGAATTTATTCCAGTCACAGGTCAACATTGGAGAGAACTCCTTAGCTAAAAGTTTCAGTCAGTTTCTCCACATAGCAGTTCTGGATGGGGCTGTAACATCAGCTCAGCTGAACTGATCAGGGACAGATTAAAGGAGGAAATGACTATGATACATACCCAAGGCATATGCTCTTCCTTTATTTCTCTCAGTAACCACAAGTGTACTAATGCACTACAGAGCAATTGATGATCCATGGAGTGCTGGATGGTCACGTGGTGATGGCTTCTCCTTATTTCCACCTGCTAACTGGCTCTGAAAGAAGCTAATGATAATTACAATTATTTGCCTAGCACTAGTATTTTTTCCATGTGAGCAATTGTAGTTGCCATGGAGATTACAAATGGAAGGGGAGGTGATCCTTGTGACCATGAATTGGAGGGAGATTGGTTCATGACAATTCCTCTAATAATATGTGATCCATGCTCTGGAACAATTTGGCAATGCCTGAGAGTGTGTACGATTTTATTTCAGTCATTATCTTATATCCATGTGACATGGTCATCAGTGGATTTTAAAGAAAAATGGGAGTCTGTTTTCTGCTGTGTAAAGTATTATGAATGGACTGCTAAATACAAAGAGGCTTTGAACTTCACCTTCCGCATTAATGACACGGTAACAATAATAATTTGCATATATAATGCCTTCCAGCTGAGGTTCTGAATCAGTTCTACAAACATGAATTAAAGCCTTGTTTCACCTTTGAGAGAGGTATCATTACCTCCGTGTATCTGGAGAAACTGAGGCAAACATAGGTGCCCAAAGTCAAAGTGAATGTGTGTTGATTTTTAGACTTATGCCTTAACCACAAGACTGGCATGTGGGTTCAATAGGAGGTGCTGCTGATCCTTGCAGTGCAAAGGGTAACCAGCATGTCTTCTCGTGTCTTTAAGATATTTTGAAAAAGTTTAATCCAGAACTCTTCGGCTTCTCCACTGGCACCGAGAAGGAAACGGCCGGGTTCAACTTAGCAGTGGGAGGAGCCAAAGCAAAGTAAGCATAATCCCAGCCTAGTTGGGGCGATAGTGGGACAAGGACTTGGTGGACTGGCAGGTTAGGAGTAAGCTGCATCCCAAGACTAAGGTAACTCTTGATTTAATACTAATGATTAGACCAGTTGCTTTTTAATGGCTGATCCTATCTATAGCTTTCCTATATCTCTAAGGTATAATATTCTTTCTTCTGAATATTTGAAGAGTGTGTATTTGTGACTTTTTCTACATAGGAGAGATGTTGCCTTTTGACTAGACCTTCTCATCTCCTATTTTCCAAGTCCAATATCAGACACTCCTTATTCCCACAGGGAATTTTCCCATAAATCTTGTCCATTTAGGTCAGTGGGTCGGTGTCAGGCCAGGGCTGTAAAGATCCAAAAGCTGTTGGTTGAATTCTGGGAAATGAGATGGAATATCGCAGTCCAGTGCTTAATGAGTAGGAGTCTTATTATTAGCATTAAAAACTACCCTGACACTAGAGCAGCAGAAGACTGAACAAGATATGGAGACTGAGCCACCATGAGAGTCACTGTGAGGTAAAATGTGCAGGCAGCCTACATTGTTGCTATTCCCAATCTATGGAGACACAGAGGACTTCAGTCTTGAGAACTTTCAATCCAGCACCTTTCACCAGCACTAAATTTACTTAAAAGTATGTTGCAAGTTAGCCAGCAAAGCTTACATGACTGGGAAACACCCTGTCATCTCCAAGAGCAGGTTTGGGAATTGAATGTTTTCTTCCAAACACAATCCATTTGAGCCAGTTCTTCAAGAAGAACCCATTTCAGTTACCCTGTTACTTGGCAGTCATCTTGGCTGGAACCCATGTAGCTCAGATTATGCACAAGACTGACGTGATTATTTGTGTGGCCTAGTTCAAATAGGGCGCTATGGCCTGGGCCACCGTGGCCATACACGGGGCCCGGGGCTCTGGCTCTGCTTTTGCAGGGCTGAGTCATCTGATCTCCAGTGGCTTGAAGAGCTCCAAGTGGGCTGGGTTGACAGGGGTGCCCTCACTATCAGCACCTGTGTGCTGGGGGCCCTACCAGGCAGGGGGGCAGTTGCCGCCATGCACAGTTTGCAGCTTCGGGACACGGCTCAGGTTGGTCACACTGCCAATAGAGTGTGGGACCATATTCAGGGGAACCTACTGCATACACGTCATGCCGGCCCTGATTATCCACTTATGATTGTTCTCACATGTGACCCATCAGTTTCCCTGGATGCCCCCTTGGTCCTGAAGTTCTGGAGTTAAGAGGAGAAAATGAAGCCTTCCCGAGTTGCTTTTATTCTGCTTATCATTTTAGAACGAGGATCTGAATGTTCTTCTTTCCTCTGTCCACAGTGATATGTCAACCCAGGCTCGTGAACTGGTTGAGCTAATGAGAGGCAGCTCAGTAAGTGCATAGCTCCTATAACCCATTTAGCATGTTTGGGTGGTGGGGAGAAGTGGATTTCACTCAGTTGTGGTGTTTGGAAAATGTTTGTTAAACTGTCAAGGTGGATGTGCAGTGTGTGGATCACAGCAGCCAGGAGATTGTTCAAAGGAAGCCTGGCACGAAAGAAACTCAGGCCCGATGAAGGTTAATATAGATAAATGAATAACAACAACACATCAAGATGCAGCCCCTACCCTGTATTGCTGAAAATGTAATTTAAGGCAAGGTGCAACAAAGTGTAACAAAGAATAGGGGGGAAGGAAGAGTGGGAGACCCAGTGTCAGAGGTAAGCAAAGGTCTAACGTAATGGTTGTGAATCACTGAAAAGGTGGAGTGGAGAGGACAGGAGGGGTATGCTGTACACAGACAGGCTGGAGAAAGGGAAGGGACTGAGAGACCGGTATGAATGGTGGCTAGGGAACTGGACAGGGGAAAGGACAGAAGCAAAGATGAAAGTGTGTGGCCTGGTGAGCCTGTGGAGACAAAAGCCAATGAATTAAAACAGGCAGCTGCACTGAGCCAGGTATCTGAGGCAGGGGGCCTACCACTCATGCCTAGACTCCCTGCCTCGAGGAAGTTGGTGATGCTGGGGTGCTGTGCTGGTGAGGGGATGGCTGTACACTGGCCAATAGGTGAGGCCACCTGAAGTTATGGCCTTGGCCAGCTCACTGATGCAATACTATGCAATGTAGTGGGGGAAGGGGAATCCCAAGGATTTCCCAGGTTTTATGGAGGCATGAGGTAGCCTGCTGCTTTCTCCAGAGTGGTCTGCTGATCCTGGCCCAATGGGGGCTGGGAAGGGGACCAGAGGGCTCCCTGGATTTTATCATAGCCACAAGCGCTGCCTTTTCTGGGATGTGTGACAATCAGGAGACACCTGGTCTCCCTCCTCAAGGTGATGGTGGAGCCTTTGTTGGCTGATGGGTGCTGTGGAGAGGCTTTTTGGTCCAGGGAGATTAATGTGGGAATGCCCCGTGTTTCCTGACCCCGAATGGGCCATGGGTAGGAGTATGGAAAAGGCAGGACTCTCCAAATCATGTGTCCCTGTGCAGCTGCCCAGATGCCATGGGCCGATGTTACTGTCAGTTATTCTGCGTTGTGAATTTTTTGTCAGGGTGCGGGAAAAGAGAGTCTGCCTCCCTCTCTGATTGGAGCTGAGTGGGAAAACTGGCAGTTGAGCAAAAGACTAAATTGCTCTGAGGTTTAGTAGGGTGTTTCCCTTCATTCACACCTTTAAAAATAGCGGGCAGGACTTTGTCCTGCCTGGCACCCCACTGGAGGGCAAAGGAGGGGGGAATGAGATGAGAATCCAGCCCTTTGGTAATTCCCAAGCCCTTCCTGTATTTGTGGGAGAGATCACAGCCGTTAGTTATATAAACTCTCTGCTCTAAAAATAGATGGCTTCCATTCCTTTCTTTGTACTGCATGTTACAGAATGTTTTCCACTGAGTTCCAGCTCGCCGCAGCTCTATTGTTGGCTGGTGGTGACGTGGATTTTGCAGCTGCCCTTATGAGCCCAGTGAAGTCACCAGCCTCCTGGACTCTTCTGTTTTAATCCAAATGTCTGTCCCCCCTTTTCAGCATTTCTGGTAGTACTCACTCAGCTGGCAGGGACTGCCAGTGACTCATGTTCCCCTGAAGCAGCCTCAGTGCAGTATGGTCTAATCCTTTCCCCTTCCCCTGCTTACTGCTGCACTGCACCCAGCATCTGGCACTAACTGGTAGATCTCCCTTCCCATCCCATCCCGTGCTGCCAAAATCCATTTTGAACAGTGCTCTCAGTAAACAGAACATTGTACAGCAGCCGCCCTGACAGCCCATCAGGCAGACAGCTGCTCCTTCCCCGTTCTGGTGGGAATTTTATCACAAAAGCCAGGATGTATTTTA